GATAGAACACAAATTGAGAGATATAACAGAGGTGTTAGAGAATCAATTTAGGTTTATACATGACAAGTCAACAATGAAAGCAATCTATCTTTTGAGAAGAGTAATAGAAAAGTATAAAGGAAAGAAAAGAGACATTCATATGGTGTTTATCGACCTTGAGAAAGCATATGATAAAGTGTCCCGGGATATAATATGTTGGGTGCTAGCGAAGAAAGGGGTGACAAAAGGTTACATTGATGTGATTAGGAACATGTATGAAGGGGTGGTGACCACTATTAGGTCGACTGCTGGAGAGACAAATGAATTTCCTATCACTGTAGGGTTACACCAAGGATCTACCTTAAGTCCTTATCTTTTTACTTTAGTTATGGATGAGTTGACGATAAATATTCAGGATGACGTGCCATGGTGTATGCTTTTTGCAGACGATATTGTGTTAGTGGATAAGACTAGAGAAGGAGTTAACACAAAGTTGGAGATCTGGAGAAAAGCTCTTGAATCTAAAGGATTCAGAGGAGAAGTGAAGATTGAGAACCAAGAACCTCCTAAGAGTGAACATTTTTGTTATTTAGGGTCGATTAGCACAACAGCGGGGGAGATTGATGCGGATGTGGCCCATAGGATTAAGGCGGGATGGTGCAAGTGGAGAAGTGCGTCTGGGGTATTGTGCGATAGATGAATACCCACTAGACTTAAAGGTAAGTTCTATAGAACGGCTATTAGACCAGCGATATTGTACGGGATGGAGTGTTAGGCAACCAAGAAACAACATGTAGATAAGATGAGTGTGGCTGAGATGAGAATGTTAAGGTAGATGTGTGGCAAGACTAGACAAGACAGAATTAGGAATGAGTGTATTTGGAAATGGGTAGGAGTAGCACCGATAGAAGAAAAGCTGAGAGAGAATTGATTGAGTTGGTTTGATCATATTCAACGAAGACCAACAGAGGCAGCAGCGAAGAGATGCGATGCTGTAACGGTAGATGGAAGTGTTAGGTAGATGGAAGTGTTAGGGGACGGGGTAGGCCTAGATTAACGTTGGTTAGCGTTGTAAATAGAAATATGGATCTACTTAATTTGACTGACGAAATGGCCTTTGATAGGCCTCGTGGAGAAGAAAGATTTATGTTGCCAACCTCATTTGATGGGACTTAAGATTTGGTTTAGTTTGGTTTGGTTATTATGATTAGTGAAATGTTGGAGAATCATGATCTGAATCAGGCCTTAAAGGGTTCTGGCGTTGTGGAAAAAGGAGATTAAAATGATTCTTAATCAGCAAAAGTAGGTGTGTTTTTTTTATATTTTTGTATTAGTTTTTTTTTTGTTTTTTATTAGTGAAGTGGTCATCTTATTCACTTGTACATTTACAGAGGTAAAATTTTGAACTTACATATTTGTTATTGAATGAGATGGAGTTGTTGATCCCTGTTTTCTAATTGAAGTGCATTCTTTTAAAAGTTCCTTACTCTCTATTCTCAAAGTGCATTTTTTTACATCTTACCCCAATTAAAAAATCTTTAAAACCTGCATTTGTTTATTCTTGTCCATCTTAATTTGTGGATTACATCCAATTCTATGCACAAGTTGACTAGACTTTTTTCACTATTTCAGCATATGATTTTGCCTCAAATATACTTATATTATATTGCTAGATGTGGCTCTGTTTCTAGGACATTTATTTGACTGGAGGGCAAATTACACTAACAGTCTTTATAGTTTGGGACTCATGTCACTTTGCTTCCTGATTTTTCAATTGTGACACATTTGACCCTGAATTTTAAATCTTGTTTCAAATAAGGACAATTGAAGATACCATTGTTTAATTTCAAGGGCAAAATCGTCATTTTAATAAAATATAAACTAATTTGACAAAAATAAATGTCAAAAAAATATTTTAATTTTTTAAAAAATATTTTTATCCACCAATGATAAAAATTAATAAAAATTACATGATTAATTTTTAAAAATTAATTTTACATAATCATCATCCAAACACAAAATAAAAATTAATTTGGTAAAAAAAATAAATAAATATTTAAAAGATTTATCAATTTTACATAATTTTATTTTTAGTGGGCAAAAAAAATATTTTTAATTTTTTAAAAAATATTTTTATCCACCGATGATAAAAATTAATAAAAATTACATGATTAATTTTTAAAAATTAATTTTACATAATCATCATCCAAACACAAAATAAAAATTAATTTGGTAAAAAAAATAAATAAATATTTAAAAGATTTATCAATTTTACATAATTTTATTTTTAGTGGGCAGAAATAATTTTTAAAAATTCAAAAATATTTGTTTGACATTTATTTTTGTCAAATTAGTTTATATTTTATCAAATTGACGATTTTACCCTTGAAAAATCTAATGATATATTCAATTGTTCTTATTTGAAATAAAATTCAAAATTCAGGATCAAATGTATCACAATTGAAAAGTCAGAGAGCAAAATGATACAAGCCCCCAAACTATAGCACTACTAATGTAATTCACCATTGACTAAATTTCTAGAACAACATCATCAACCAGATTTTAAACTTTTTGGTTTTCAAGATATTTAATTTGAGTGCATAAGTTACTTCTAAAGTGCTAGTTGTTGATGACTTCTAAAGTGCTTGCCCTGACGGGGAGATTAAAAAGGTGGTATCAATTATTTGAAGAAATTTGATGCTTGCGAGCTTCATATTTATTGAGCAGAGAAGATTGTTTGTATTGATGAAATGTATTTTTTGATTAAACATATTGTTTGTAAAATGATGATTGTATATTTGAATTAATGAAATGTACGTATTTTTTTAAAAAAGTATTTTGGATATATGGATTTGTTGAATAGTAGAAAATTAAATATATATTTCTTTTCAAAAAATTATTTAGTTATTTGTGATGGCTTTTTGACTGTCACAAATAACTATTTTTTTAAAAAAAAACTTAAGATTCTTTGCTGACGTACTTGTTTGTCACCAAAAGCTTACGTTTGCCGACTCATATTGTGTCAACAGAAGTCTATCTTTTTACCAATGCAATATTGTGTCGGCAAAAATACCAAACAATCATCATATTTGAACTATTTTTACCAACGAAAGGGTAAATTAGCGACAATGAATTAAGGCATTTGCCGACTAAGATGTAGTTGCTAAAGGTGCTACTTTTGCCAACGCAAAGATATGTTCGTCAATAAAAGTTTTCCCCGACTCACTTTTCCTAACGAGTTGCTAACGAAGCTCTATCTGTCGGCAAAACTCTTTGCTGACGATTTTCTCATTTTGGCGACAATTTTGCCGTGTTGCCAAAGCTACATTTTGTTGTACTGTGTACTGAAGGGATGAAGGAGTTGATTTGATGCAAAAGTTGATTAAGCTTTTCTGATTCCCAAACTCAAAGTTGTATGCTGAAGATTAAGATTCCATTGTGAGCTGCCATTTGGAAGAGAGAAAAGTTCAGCCACTGAACTCTATTTTTGTTGGGAGAGTGAGAATAATCTGTTAAAAGTAATACTAAGAGGTTTAATGTCACACCAAGCATCTGACTAGAATGCGATGTCTTCTCGAGATCCAAGCTTTAGGAGAAAATTGTTGCGAAGGACCTCTCTGAAGGGGCTATTGTTACTTCCAACACTAAGGATACCTTTCTAGATATTGGAGCAAGAAGATGGGCCAAGGTCAGAGGGCAGCCATCTACTTGAAATACCACTATATTTCTCAACAGCTACTTTCCTCCAAAGGGCTTGTTTTTCAGTTCTGAATCTCCACCACCATTTTAAAAGGAGAGTTGCGTTCTTAAGCTTTAAAGACGTAACACTAAACCACCAGTTTTTTTACTTCCAAAGATTAGATTCTAACCTGCGAGCTGAATTTTTCTTTTATCATCAAGGTCGCCCCAAAGAAATTTTTGATGCAATGATTCCAATTCATTACGCACTAATGATGGAATCATAAAGAGGGAAAAATAGTAAATGGGCATGGTTGTGAGTGTAGCTTGAATGAGGGTAAGCCTTCCCCCAAATGAGAGATAGTTTCTCTTCCATCTTACAAGTTTGAATTTGAATCTTTGGATGATAGGTTGCCAAGTGACATGGGATCTAGGGTTCGCACCAAGAGGAAGACCCAAATAATTAATGGGCAATTTAGATAATTTGCAGCCAAGAAGTAAAGCTGCCTGGTCAAGAAAATCTTTATTCACACCAATCCCACAGATTGAGGTTTTGGAAAAATTGATTCGAAGTCTTGATATAAGCTCGAAATTTGAAATGATGCTTTTAAGATGTTGTAGCTCTCCGACATTTGCATTGGAGAAAAGCATTGTATCATCTGCAAATTGTAAATGGGAGATGACAAGACCTCCTACCCCAACCACGACTCGAGAGATCATATTTCGATGTCTAGCCCTTTGGATAAGACAATTAAGACCCTTATTCACAATAAGAAATAGAAAGGGGAAGGGGGGGTCTCCTTGCCTTAACACCATTTATACATAAAATTAACAAAAAACTAGCCTGAGGGATTAACTATGACGATCATGATAATCGAATCTAACTGCTGCACGGCAGGAAATTCAACTTGTAGTGGCATTTAAAAAACGCCGCTATAAATGTCAAAACGCAGCCAATTCTTTTTGTGACGCTTAGTACCAAACGCCGAGGACGCGGCCGTCACTATAGCTTTATGGCGTTTTAAAAACGTCGTGATATTAGTATAGCCATGCTGACGTCAATGACGATATTTAGCGACGTTTTGAAAAAACGCCGTTATATCTTTTAAAAAAAATATGACCGTTGGTATGCAGGGTTTAAGAGGCGTTTGTAGAAACGCCGTCATATCCTCTCTTTTTTTTTTTTGGATTGAAATTGTGCTAATTTTATTTGATTGAACTAAAAAAATACCTGTAATAACACTAATATAAAATAATAACTCCCATTCAAATAGCTGTAATGAAGCATTAATTCACTTTCTCATTCAATTAATATGCAATCACCATTACCCACAAAATTAACATATCCAAAATCCAAAAATCATGTTTTAACATTAACCACAAACTAACATATATCCAAAAATCATGTCTTAATATTAACCACAAACTAACATATATCCAAAAATCATGTCTTAGCATAAAAGTTGTAGTCTTCACTAGTCTACATGCCTGCATTAGAACATAAACTGCAATCAGATTCACCAAAATAAACACAAATTGAAGAATTTGTACCAAATACTTATAAACAGTACTTAAAACTTGAAGAAGCACTAACAAGAAGATTTTCACATACCAAGAAGCACTAAATACCTATAAAGAAAATTAATTTCAAAAACAATGTCAGTTTTGCTTAATTTAAAACACCTTTTAACCCAAAATGCTAAAAGAAAGAAATAAAGACAATAAAAAAATGGAAGGAAAGTCAAAGTACCTGACGCTAACTAGTCATTTAAACATCCCATGGAAATTGAATCACTTCATGGTACTTAACATGGTTTAACATTCACATTAACGTTTGGAATGAGTCAGCCACATTTTTTCTACAGTATTAAAATTAATCAATCTGGCAGATAATCATTAGCAGTAGTATAAATCTACAATAAAAAAGTGAAACACTGGAGTGAAGTGAAACATTGTTTCATTAGATCTAGACAAACAACTTTAGACAACCAAACAATCAAAGCAATTCTATGTGTGTTTGCCAAATAACAAGCAAACACTACCCAAAAATGAACACCGAGGAAATATCCTACACCATACAATTGAAAACAGATTCACTTGATTCACAGTTCATGTGACACTGCCCTAGTCCTGAAAGTTTGAAATGTTTGACAAGTGAAACTCAAACAATGTGGACAAGCCTCTAATGTGGAGAAACGAAGCCACATTATGCTCTCCTCCACATCATCACTTGCATCTGAAAAATAAGATAAACTACCCATGAGGTTTTAAGATGACAACCAATGTTATAACTTATATAAGTAAATGGAAAAACAACAAAATTGCATAAATAAGATGTGCAAAGACAATGGCATCAGTGGTTAAGAATTCTCAACAGGAAAATTTACCTGAAGTTCAGAGATCAAGTGTAAGCCATCATATGCAGAGTCTTTGCACAAACATACCAGAGAAATAAATAAAGAAGCATAGTGACAAGAATTATATAATTATTTTTACACAAATATATGCATCACATTTGCATAAACAATGAAACCCATCTATATATTGAAAATATAAATAAAAATAGATAAATACAAACATATTTACATACACGTGTAGCGTGTGTGCTTGAGAGAGATAGTGATTAAAGTTATACCAAACGACAGAAAAGCAAGTGAAATAACAATGCACCTATGTTTGTAAATTTATTAAAATTCTGCAGTTTGGTGACAGCATCTGCTACACATAAATTAGTTCTAGAGACGTGGCATGTGACGCGTACACATAAATGTGGCTGAAAGAGTATTAAATGGAAAATTATGCCAAGTCACTGTCAAGTGTTACGAAAAAAATACAAAACATTGGAATGAGAAAAAAAAGGATGCCAAGATAAACTTAAGTAAATGCTCAATAAAGATTCCACCAAGATGATAAAATTGACACTGAACATAGATTGACTACAAGATTTCACTCGTAAATTATGAACATAAAGAACCTAAAGGTAATTTTTCCTAATATTCTTTGAAAAATTATATTTCCACTTAAATGATAGAGGGGGGAGCAAAGAGGTTTGAGTATACATGAGATTTTTAAAAGGAATCAAAAAGAGAAGAATAAAAAGGGAAAACTATTTAATAACAATCACTGGGACACATCAGGGATACAAGCAAGCAAGCTATTCAACAGTAGAAACGAAAACCCACAAAGCATCTACAAATAGAAGCATCGTAGAAACTCATCTGGATGTTTTAATGATATATGAAGATTGAAATATACACAAATTCGTATATTGTGTGATTTTCAATATAAGAACTAGCATAGTAACAATTAAAGTATGCAACTTTAAACCTTCAAAGCAACACCACTCTCCTTGGGCATATATCAACCATTGATCTCAACAATTCATGTTTTAGCGAATGCACTTTAGTTCCATACCATTTACTTGAAACCATCTAGTTCTAAAGCATACAGTATACATTGTGTGCTCATTGAGTGTCCTACATTCGCAGTTTTATGTTTAAACTTGTCGATTCATAAAACTGCTGCTAACTTTATCATGTTATCTCAAGTCGTGCAAGGCTTACGAAACTTGATCATATTGAAAAGCATCCACATCACAGCCCAGACCATGAGCCAATCCTGGTTCTGAAAAAGTAATATTGACCAGACCATAACTATATATGTAAATAGATATGTGTTGGGTTGGGGCAGGTCACCTAGTTAAGTTCTCCACTGCCATTCTCATGCATTCCAAGCACAAATAGTGAATTGAGAGAGACAGAGAGAGCGAGAGAGAGAGAACGAACGATAATAATAATCACTGGGACACATCAGGGATACAAGCAAGCAAGCTATTCAACAGTAGAAACGAAAACCCACAAAGCATCTACAAATAGAAGCATCGCAGAAACTCATCAGGATGTTTTAATGATATATGAAGATTGAAATATACACAAATTCGCATATTGTGTGATTTTCAATATAAGAACTAGCATAGTAACAATTAAAGTATGCAACTTTAAACCTTCAAAGCAACACCACTCTCCTTGGGCATATATCAACCATTGATCTCAACAATTCATGTTTTAGCGAATGCACTTTAGTTCCATACCATTTACTTGAAACCATCTAGTTCTAAAGCATACAGTATACATTTTGTGCTCGTTGAGTGTCCTACATTCGCAGTTTTATGTTTAAACTTGTCGATTCATAAAACTGCTGTTAACTTTATCATGTTATCTCAAGTCGTGCAAGGCTTACAAAACTTGATCATATTGAAAAGCATCCACATCACAGCCCAGACCATGAGCCAATCCTGGTTCTGAAAAAGTAATATTGACCAAACCATAACTATATATGTAAATAGATATGTGTTGGGTTGGGGCAAGTCACCTAGTTAAGTTCTCCACTGCCATTCTCATGTATTCCAAGCACAAATAGTTTATTCATCTGGAAATGTAGAAACTGATAATGTGCTAGGAGATTTTCAACATGACAATAATTGAAAGGTCAATCTTCCTGAAGCAGTTGACATCATCTCATCTCATCCGTCCAGAGCAGCCCTCTTAACATAAATATGGATTTTTGTACCTTTAATTGTTCTACTACTTTCCAATGGAACTACCAATAGTCGTCATGCAATGGAGCAATACAGGAAAAAGAAAAAAGAAAACCTTGTACCATCTCAGGATGAATGAATCCAAAATTATGATAAATTCGGAGATTGATTAGATCAAGTTTTGTTTTGATTCCTCTGCTAAAACTAAAATGAACAAGCATTAAATCGAATGCATAACGTAACTTACTTTATCAATATAGCTAATGAGAAAAGGTTTCGATGAAAAAAAAATAGAAAAATCCATATCACACGTGATCGGTAACTAAAAAAGAGAATCCCAGGACATTGACACCTCAGAACAGGAAAGCAAAGGAAAGGAAACGAAACGAAAAAGAGTAAAGAGAGATATGACATACCAGCCTTGGAGGAATGAGGTACAATCACTCTAATTTTGGTAGTGGTAATGCTCACAATGGTACAACTAGTAAGGCTGGGGTTGAGAGGGGGGGTGGAGGAGGGTACCCTTGATTGAAGTAACCTTGATATCCTGGCTGTGGTGGCGCCAGGTATGGATACCCTACTGGCTGTGGAGGGTACCCTTCGTATGGCGGTGCCGGTGGTTCTGAGGGGTACCCAGGCGGAGGGTATGTTGTTCCATACCCTATTTAAAAACAGATTACCCATCTCTATCAATCAGATTTTTTAAATTTTATAGCAAATCAGAACTTAAAAACCCCAAAATTTAAAAACAAAAACAAATTACAATAAAATATGATTTCCACAATTCTTTAAGAATATTAACTACACTGCAAATGTTGGCTATCGCTACACTGCAGATATGCTCCCATATCATGTGAAGCTATCATTCCATCCAAAAATGTAAATGATAGATCACATTGTGCACTCTGTTAGAAACTCTACCACATACTACCTAAACTAATCATGACGGGTAATAAAATACTATGAGTCTACAAGTGTCATGTTCAGCATAATCTATACTACTTATTTACCCTTAATAAGAGGAATTTTGCACATAATATCACAAAGAAAATACAAAGAATTTCAATGACGAGTACGAAATTAAATGTTTACTTAACAAATCCCAAAACCCATAAATTCATATATAAGCGCATATTTTATATTATTATTAGAAGGTAACACCTTAATTGATGTCCTTGACAGATTTTTAGTATGCCTGAATTACCCCATGCTCAAACATCTTTGCATAATTCCAGAACGCCGAAAAACAAAGATAAAGCAGTTAATTAAGGTCTTCAAACTTCAACACTAAGAATGAATAGCAATACAAGGAAGTCAGTTCCTATAGTTGTTTATTGTATCAACATCACATGTTGCTGTTCCGACAGTTTTCATGTGGTTTTTTCCACTTCTTTCATAAAAGTTGCACTTTATCTACAGGCTCCAGTTTAAAGAGAGAACTACCCTTATATCTAGAAATGGATACATTTCAATAAAAGTTTAGTGAAAGAATGAAGAAACTAAAAGTTTTTACAATGCTCTTGATAAATGATGATAAATTCAAGAAATGCATTACTTTTACCTTGATAAATTTAGAACATAAGAGACCTTGAGATTGGGGAATATAAATAGATACTTCACAATAACAAGGGTTGATAAATAAATATATTTTTAAAAAAATTAAAAAATTTCTACCATTGAATCCAGGAAACTGAACTGGTCCACCAGCTGCAAGACACACTTTCCAAACACCATCAACAACAACCTAAAAAGAAGTAAAGAAGTTCACAGTAACATTGGAATATCACATAAAAAACTGACAACATGCAGTTCAAAAAGTGAGTCTTTAACTCATTGTTGAACATAAATGAAGAAACGATGCGGCTCAGTCGATCATGATTAGGAAAATTTTATAATTTAAAGATAATTATACTTTTGCCAAGGAATTGGTTTTTCAATATAAAGACAATTTTTCCATAATGGTTCTAAAAGGGATGGTATCAGTAGGTCAGATTTTGAAGCTCAACACGTGCTACCTGTACCTCCTTAACAACATCCAACAAATACCTAAAATTGAACTAGTTATCTGCAAAAACAGTACCAAGATGAGAGGTAAATACAGAGAAATCAATATTTGAAATCGATATATGTGGATATACATATATATATATATAGAGAGAGAGAGAGAGAGAGAGAGAACAGAAACATAAATCTTGACCATTGTTGTTGGTGAGATTTATAGAATTCAAGAAACAAAGGGGGAAAATCAAGAACACTACAGCCTCTTCTTCCACACTTTCTCACACACACATACACAAAATATACAGAAGTCGATGAAAAGAGGTTTTTACTGAAAATGGAAGGATTCGAAGGAGCTTACCAACATATTTTATTCAAAACCCCTATATTTGGATCAGGTGTTCTTTGCAACCTTCAGATCTGGCTTTAATTAGTTCGAAATCCTTCAGATCTTGTCTCCTGTTCTTTTCTTCAATGAGCACCACCACCGCCATCATCTTCCACCACTGTAGCTGTCGATCTGAGGCGATAATGAGAAGACAGCAGCAGCGGTGAGTGTGGATGAGATCGGCAGAGGAGAGAGAGAGAGAGAGAGAGAGAGAGAGAGAGAGATGAGTCTGGTGACAGAGGAGTGAAAATGAGCGAGAGAGAAAAAAAAATGAAATCGAAATCAAAATCACTGATGCAGATCGACTTGATGCAGATAGGTTTACCTCTCAGTGATTCTATGTAAATGGAATAGGTAAACAAATTAAATCACCGAGCTGATTCCAATCGATTCCTATTCTGAAATAACTCTGAGATTTAAGGGATCACCGAGCTGAAACGATAGATTTGAGGCATCTTCTTTATGAGACTGAAGAGTAAAGAATGAAAGTCTCAAGAGGGAGGGAGAGGGTGTGAGAGATTATAACACATTTGGAAGCGTTTTCTATCAGCTAAACAGTGCATTTTGATTAGCACAAAAAGCGGCGTTTATAAACGCCGTTAAATATTAAAAAAGACGACGCTTAAGAAAACGCCATTATATAAACGCTGTTAAAACAAACATTTCTTGTAGTGCTGGTGCATCCTGCAAATAATTGTCAAGCCTTCTAACTTCATCAACTTTCCATGAAAATAAATTTCTTTCAAATTTGAAGTTCCATTCCCCATCAAAATTTCTACTCTGATGAAAATCTAGCACTGAACCTTCTTTTTCAAGAGACAAATAGAACAACCTAGGAATGCCTCCTTCAAACTAACGTTACCATGCCATTTATCAATCCAGAAGCACACTCTTCTCCCATTTTCAAGCTGAATTCAAGCATTGGAAATAAGGAAATTAAACAGACTTGGATTAATATGGGCTTCATGAATGATGTTCAATCATAATCTGAGGTTCTCATCTAATTTTGGAAATTAGGCAACCATTTTCCTCCGTCGCAGTGGAACTTACTGCACAAGATCAATTTCCATGAGGCATTTTCTTCCATCCCAAATCGCCATCACTATTTTGCTAATAGACATGAATTAACATCTGTCAACCTTTTCATTCCCAGACCACCCAGTTCAATGCCTTTAGACACTTCATCCCCATCTAACCATAGGACTTTTTTCTTCAAATTTGAATTCCATAACCATATGGACTTCTTTCTTCAAATCAAAATCCCCCTATAAAAAGGAAGCTTGAATTCTATTAAGCACCCGAGCCGGTCCCACTTGCATTTTAAAAATGGAGAAAAAGTACACAAGCAAGCTTGACAACACAAACTTAATAAGAGGAAGTCTTCCACCAAATAATAGCAGTCTCATTTTCCAATTTGCAAGTTTTCCTTTAAATTTCTTCACAACCGAACTCCATATAGAAATCAATCTAGGACTGGCACATAATGGCAACCCAAAGAATTTCAATGGAAGCTTTTGACTAACAAATTTCAATGCAGTAGCAAACTCATCAATAATGCCATCCTCTGCAGCCATACCAGTTGCCATACTTTTAACACAACTAATCTTCAATCTTGAAATGATCTCGAAACACCTAAGAATTCTTTTGATACAAAAAATTTCTTCCCAATTAGCTTCAAAAAATAGAAAAGTGTCGTTGGCAAATTGTAAGTATGACACCCCCATTTCGTCTTTACCAACAACGGCACACTTTAATAGCCCTAATCCCTTTGCCTGCATGATGAGAATATTTAAACCCTCGGCAATTATGTTGAAAAGGAAGGGCGATAATGGATCACCCATCCTTAATCCCTCTCTGAATTAAATTCCAACGGTGGGCTTCCATTTACTATGACTAAAATCCTTGCAATAAACACACAAATTTTGATTCATTTATTTCCAAACTCAAATTTGCTCATTAGATTAAATAAGAACTCCTAATTGACACTGTTGTACGCTTTCTCAAAACCAAATTTAATAAGCACCCCCTTTTTACTTCTTAACTTTCTACCAATCCACTATTTCATTAACAATCAAGACACCATCAAGAATGTTATGCCTACCCAAAAATGCCGATTGTACAAGAGGATAAGACCTTAGCAAGAATCTTGTAAATAGACCCAATCAAATTAATTTTTTTTTTTATCAACACCCAATCAGACTAATTGGTTGGAGGAAGTCTATGAATAATTTTTTAAATAAAAAAAGTGAACGTCACCCCAAAAAAAAAAAAAAAAAAAAAAAAAAAAAAAAAAAAAAAAAAAAATCCTCATAAAATTTTGTCTTTAAAACAGATATGGTTGTCAATTACTAAGCTATTTTTTTTTTTAATTTTATATTTCGGCTTTTCGAGTGAAATAATGTAAAATGAGTCATTTTGAATTGTAATGGCAACATTGGGACCATTTTGAGCATCATAGTTAAGTATTGCCCTATAATTGGGATGCAACTCAATCAAATTCATAGGTTAGGTTTTTGTTAATTAATTAGTATCTCATTCAAATCACTGGAACCACCGCTAATGCACATGTTTATTAATTAAGCTGCCACCATCATAACTCCCTCTCCCTCCAACCCAGTTGACGCATCTATCTTTCTACTAGCCCCTTTCTTTTTTTTCTAAGTTGTTTTTGCGGAGGTGGTGGTAGATGCAGGAACCTCAGAAGAGAGAGAGGGAAAAAAAAAAAAGGGTTGGTGAAAGAGTGGTGGAGGTGGTGGTTGTGGAGGTGGTGGTTAGGGAGGTGGCATGGATGTACTGGTGATTGTTGGTGGCTTGTAGAGGCGCTTGTGGAGTATCTTTAGGTTGAGATTAGGTTATATAATTGTAAAATTGTCATTTTTATTGATACAAGATTTTTTTTTTTAAATGTAATTTTATATTATACATTAGATGTGTTTGTTCCACAAAAATAGAGAGAAAGTAGTATAACTATGCAAAATTGTAAGGTCTATTGTTCTTTAAAAAAAAAAATGATATCTCATCATTATTTCAAAATTACAAAAAATAATTATAACAATTGCAGACTTTTTTTTATGATGGATAAGATCTCCTCCCTCCCACATTATTTAATACATTTTCTACCACTTACTCATAAAAGGGATACATAACGCTCAGGTGTAATGTATTAATTGATCAAAGTCACAATGAGTTTGGACATTGCACATGTTAAAACTTTGAACCCAAAAAAATCAATTATTACCAAATTTATATATTGGAATCATCAATCTATGGTTGAGATTCAATCTATAAATAGACTCCACAATACAATACGAAATCAAATCTCAGCCACATTTGTACTTTCTATATGTACATTTCTTGACCCAAAATCTGAAGGAAAAAAAGTGTTGATTGATTAACTACCCTTTGATTTTGAAATGAAGCTAACTATAAGGAGCTGTACATAAACGATACAAAGTCAATACCACTCTTCCCTCTACATATATAGAAAGTTCAAAGTCAACCAAATAATGGTTACTCATAAGGCCTAGTTTGGGAAGACTAAATAAGTGCACTTTTTGACTTTTTATGAAATATGGGTTGGGTTTGGGTTGGGTTTGAAGTGATGTGTTAGAGAGGTGATGTGACTTAAATAAGATGAGGTGACTTAAATAGGATAGTGACTTTTTGACTTTTTATCTTTTTTCAATCATGCCAAACTTGGCCTTGCACCAACTTGTATATATGTATAATGTATATTTATATATAGAGATGGCTTGTTTCAAGATCACACAAACAAACAGAGATGGAGTACAAGCATTTTAGCCACCCCCATGGCTTGTGTTTTCGACAAATCCCTGACCAAGTGCCCGAAATCCAGTGCTCGGGCTGCAACACTCCGGCCTCGGGCTCTGTCTACACCTGCAGGCAGTGCAACAACTTCAATCTTCATGAGCAATGCTTTCAAGCAACTCGCTCATTGAACCACCCTTCTCACCCGTCTCACCCTCTTCCCCTATCCCACTTACCCCTCTTCCTCTTTCTTCTGCAATTCCTGCAGTCTCGCTGGAACCGGCTTCTCCTATAGCTGTTCCACTTGTGAATTTGACCTTCATGTCCATTGCGCTTACATGCCTGTTCCCCCATCACCATATCCTAGTTTTCCTATCCCAAATCCTTCTTTCCCTCAAGAATCGCCGAGTTTTAGTCCTCCCCAATATGTTTACTGGCCTGAAAATACTACCCATGAATCTGTTTCCATGAATTGTCCCAACCAACAATACAATTTACCAAACCAGCATTCCTCTTTCCCCAACGAAACGCCGGGTTTTAGTCCCCAGTGTGCTTACAGGCCTGAAACTACCGCCACCCATGAATCTTTTGTCAATGGTCCTAACCCCATCCCACCACAATACACTTCACCAAATGAAGCATTGTCAAGTTTGAATGCCCCAGTGGGATTGGCTAATCAACCAACACATGCTCCATATGCTGGTGCAAATCAACAGTACTCTTTTTCCCATGAAACACCAAGTTTCAATCCTCAATATGCTTACATGCCTGAAACTAGTACTACCACACATGAATCTGTGATCAATAATAGGCCGAACCCACAACACCCTTCATCAAGTCAAGCACTTTCTTCAACAGCCAATCAACCAACACATGCCCCATATGCTGTTGGAAACCAACAAGTTCCTGTTGTCAATGGTCCTAAGCCACAGGACTCTCAACCAAATGAAGCCCTACACAATTCCAGTGCTCAGACAGGTCTTGCTAACGAGGGAAAGTCACGTGCTGATCCACCAAATCAAACACAACCACGAAATGTAAGGCATTTCAGCCACCATCATGCCTTGCATTTATCGAAAGTTCAAGAGGAAGGTTACATTCACTGCTCTGTTTGTGATCAGTGCCTTTCTGGCTCGGCTTACAGTTGCACCAAGCAAAGGTGCAACTTTGACATTCACAAGTCCTGCTTCGAATTGCCACAAGAGATTCACCACAAATCGCATCCCAAACACGCTCTCACGCTTCACTCATCCCCGCCTTACAAAGAATACAACGAATTCACCTGCAATGCCTGTCGTGAAATTGGCACTAGTTTTACCTACCACTGTAAAGACTGCAAGTTTGATCTCCATGTCAAGTGTGCAACATTGCTCGAAACTGTGAAACGCAAAGATCATGAGCACCCGCTGACTCTCTTTTATTCATCTCCATACAAGAAATCTGAAGAGGATAGTGCCAAGGACTTGATCTTCTACTGCGATGTATGCCAATTTGAAGTCGATGACAGCTGTTGGGTATACTATTGTCAAGAATGTGATTATGGTACTGACTTGCATTGTGTGACTGTTGAGAAAAGACCAGAAGAAGAAGAAACAAAGGAATATTCAGCAGAAGAAGCAGTTGCCAAGGCTCAGCAGCATATGCAATTGCTTCAAATTCAAATGGAAATGAGCAAACAAAATGCACAGTTTATAAGCGGAATCGCACAAAGTTTGTCCAACTTAGTTTAGATTTTCTGCATTTTTTTGTTGTGTTTGGGTTGGAAAAGTATGTTCTTGTTGGTCTGTTCTGGCCTTCTGGGTTGATTTTGATGTCTTTCTTGCTTTGCCTTCCTATCTGATTATTGTTTACAATTTTGTGCTCGGTGTTCGAATCATACTCTGCCAAATTTGATTATTCAAATAAAGTTTCAGCTTAATTTGTTCATTTTGTTTGAGGCTTTGTTTTTCAAACAAATCAGCTTGGGCTGCTAGTTTCAACCTTGAGAGAGAATATTTCAAATGTATATTGTTGATCTGTGAATTGCAGAATGTGGTGAGAGGCATAAGATTGGCTTTTAGGTTTTCAAGTTCACAAAAGGTTCCATAGAATATTTCAAATGTATATTGTTGATCTGTGAATTGCAGAATGTGGTGAGAGGCATAAGATTGGCTTTTAGGTTTTCAAGTTCACAAAAGGTTCCATAGATTCTCTGTACCCAAATAATTTTGTTCCCCTATCTCAAATCATTAACAATCATTGAATATGTCTTGCATTTTCACATTTTGAGATTTTCATGATCTAATGGTTGTGAGTGATTTGGGACAGGGAAACAGAATTATTTGGGGACAGAAGATCCTTACTAATCTTAGCTTCGGAAACTTCATAGGGAATCCACTACCAATTAGTTCAATTAAGTGGATCAACATAATAGTAAGGGGTTGTTTGAAATGATCAAAATATGTATATTTTTTAATTTTTTATAAAAAAAAATACAGAAAAGTAGAGAAGTAATATGACCTATGGGCACTTATCTAAATAATAACACTTATTTAGTTTATGCCAAATATGTAAAAATTTATGACGGCTTAGATGGGCATGGGTCAAGTTTGGGGGTAAGGATAACGTTATCATTTTAATAATTGAGCTCAGAATAATTCAAATTTGGTAGTGATTTGTAACAACCCAACAAGTAAAATTCATTGTTGTGCTTTGACCGATTAGAATTCTCTAAACTAATGTGGTCGTAATGAAAGTCAATATTGTCTAACACTATTTGATATCAAACATATAATCGTATCACCAATACCGATATATATTTCACTACTATTATTTAAAATCATGTTATGGTGTTTTTTAATATATGATTTATACACAATATCTAGAAGACAAACATATATCAGGGACCACCAGTTCAGTCCATGAGTTTTTTTTGTTAAATTTTTATTTTTTGACGTGCCAAATATTAAAATTTACAAAATATATTTTCAAAAGCATGTTCTACCAAATACAGATGGAGCTTTAGTTGGAATGCATTGAAATTTGTGTGTTTAATATGGGAGCTTCTATTTGCACGTCCTCATTTTCCTCTTTACACACACTTAATAAAAATTATTTTTATTATAATTTTATTTTCAAGTGAAATTACTATTATGGACATGAAATAAACACATTCAGAAGTTGAATGTCGAAAAAATGAAAAAAAATCAGAACTCTACTTCCGAACAAGTTGTTTATTTTCGGAACTTTACTTCCGAACCAATTGTTTATTTTCAGAACTTTACTTCCGAATCAATTATTTATTGAAAAAGATGTATAAAGAGGGAAATGGGTGTGTGCAAATAGAAGCTCCCGTTTAATATGATTGTTTGCAAAATTGTCGGTGTAGTGCCCCTGACATTTTCCTTGCCAATGCAGTTCAATGTGATGGATAAATGTTTTAGACATGAAAATTATCAATAAAAAAAATTAATGATAATAATAATAATAATAAATTTTTTTTAAGTGAACTGTTGGACCTAAGTATTACAAAATGCTTTAAAGCAATAGAGTACAAAGTGATTTTAAAGAACATAGAGAATGCCAATGTGATTTTAGAGAATAGATATCAGTGTGATTTTAGAGTTATTGGGAGTGTTTTACCTAATTTAAAATCAGATTATGAAGTACATATATTCTAATACTAGCGGTGGTACACGCAATGCGTATAGAATTCAAATAAGTAAAAATAAAAATAAATAATAAAAAAAATTAATATTATAATAATATGTATATTATCTAAGTGATAAGAGTGTTCTTTATGAAATTTAAAGTTATGAGTTTAAATCTTGTGCACCATCTTTTTATATAATTTTTTTTTTTAAATAAGATAAAAAAATATACCATGTGACATGAAAAGAAAACTTGAATATCAAATTGAGCATTCACTTAATAATAATAGGGCAAATTATGTGGAAGTCTTATTTAAAAGAAAAGAAATCTATTTAGTCCTACAACATTTTGGATACTCTCAAAAGTCCACTACGTATTTTTCTTCTTTATTCTTCTCTGTGCATTCGTCTTTCTCTGCCTCTTTCTCTTCCTGGTTTCCAGGGATTAGCGAACATACATACTTTTTCTCTTTCTCTTTCTAATATATAGTCACCGGTGACTAACGACAACCATTAATTGGGATTCATCAGCAACCACCGACCACCAAATTCTTACATCACCCTCGCCGACAGCGAAGGAGAGGAGTTTCCAGCGAAGAAGATGAGTAGATTTACTTAAATCTACATGAGATCCGACTAGATCTAAACCACAAATAGTTGTCGAAGTATAATCTTCTCTCTATATCTGTGTTTTTTTCCTTCGATCTCTCAATTTTTCTACCTTTCTCTACTACATACTTCTATTTTCTTATTTTAATTGAGAAAATTTTCAAGTTCTGAACAAATTGTTTTTTAGTTTTAGTTACAGGTGGTGAAAACTGTAAAATTTTACATTTTCAATTTTTTTGTACTGAAATGAATCATGGTTTAAGTTTGTAAAATTTTGCAGTTTCATAACATTCTTTAGAACTGTAAAATGTTTTCCAGTTTGATTAATAAGGATAAATGCTTAATAAAATCATATTTTGAAACTCTAACATTTTACAGTTTCAAAACTTACTTTTCAGTTTGATTAATATTAGAAATTATTTGCTAAAACCCTACAAAATTTGAAAAATAATATATATTTTTTCACATTTTTTTTCTTTTAGTTTATCAATATTTAGCACATTTTGTTATATTTTTTCACTAAAATTTCTCCATTTTTTTTTTTTGACAATATTTTGGACATTCCGATAAGTCTCCGACGATGTTCTTGATATCTAACTAACATTCTAGATATTCTGGCTACTTTCAGTGACTTTCAAAACACTCCGACAATACCGCGGCGACTTTCCAATGATGTTGAACATTCTTGCGAGTCTCTGGTAACCGTCTGACGGAAGTCCGACGATGATGGGATGTAACAGTATTTTTAAATTTATAAAAAATATTTTTTTTTTAATAATAATTAAAAATATATAACATTAATTGATATAAATATTTTATTTTAAGAATAAATAAATTTTAAATTTTATATATGGGACTTAGGTGCCTCATAATAATATATATAGAAGACAGTTGCTGATTTTAAAATTGCTCAATGATGACAAAGCCTAAAGTCTACCCATTGCCAGTATGTTCAGAGAGACAATTGATCACAAGCAGCTCATATGCCAAAGTCTAAAGTCAAAAGATTTTAAAATTGCACAATATTGATGACAAAAGCCTAAATAAAGTCTACCCATTGCCAGTATGTTCAGAGAGACAGCTGATCACAAGCAGTTCATTTCATTGGTGGAGGGGTTTGAATCTGACTATCTTAATTATAAAATTTCCATCCAAATTTTATACACACCGCAATTGTTGATTTTCTACCTATTTTCTAATTGGAATTTAAGTAATTTCCAAGCAACATGTTTAGATGAATAATACAAGATGGCTATCGTTTTCCAAACGAAAATATGCATAAATTGATTTTTTATTGAAACGTAGCCAAAGTCTATGAACAACTACAAAGATTTCAAAAGTCACTGTATCGATGAGACCACAACCCTTTTTATCTAGTGATAAAAATTTAAGATTGATTACACTTTCTCACTTCAATTATTGTTCCTTAGTTCTATCTTATCAACTAATTTTTTCAATGGTTAATTGGGAAAAAATTCATTCTTATGGGCCATATGTTATTTAATTAAAAGTTTAATATTTTTTCATGATAAGAACATGTGTTAAAAATCACTAAAAAGTTGCCAGAGGCAACGAATAAGATGGAAAGATAGGTATTGTTGGGTCTGTGAACCCCGATAAATACTATTTATTGAACTTTATTGGCATGTTTGATTAGAAGGATTAAAGCATAGGATTGGGATTATTAATCCGTGGGGCCAATCATCCTATGTTTGTTTTGACATTTTAGTTTAGAATTATTAATCCAATGAATATTTAATCCAACAAATTTGTAGGATTATTAGTAATGGGGTAGGGGTGGGATAACTAATACCACACTAATTTAATAGGATTATTAATACCTCACTATTAGTGTTGTGAATCAAACATGGCCAAGGTCTTGGGATTTGGGGGCCTCCTCTTAAAAGGGAGGGGTCCGTGAGAGTTTACCTCTTGGTCCGAATTTTTTGAGTACTTTAGTAATTTCCCTATTATTTCTGCGTTGCCCTCATTCTATACTTGTAAGAGAGTTGTATTATTTTCTAATCATAGTAAAAGCCACAGCTGCCATGAACATAGCCTTATTCTTGGATAACCCACGTAAATCCTTATATTTTTGTTTGTGTGTTTGATTTTTTTGATTCAATTATCTTTCTTGTTTGTTATTTTATGTATCACCGATCATATTTAGGAAGAGTTAATTCCCAACAATATGACATTGAAAAGATAGGTGGACATTTAAATATATAGTTTGATAGATAAGTGACACATATACAGATAGGTAACATTTGAACATATAGACAAATAGCTAAATTTTGAATAGATAAGTGTCCTTTCAGATAAATAATGTCATTTTGGCTCAAAAAGATTTAAGCACAAACCTATTGACCTAACGATTTTCAGAAAAACCCATTGACCTAAAGATTTTCACAATGGACCTGTAGCTTGAGTTTTATGGGCTTTTATGATAAAAAAATACCCTATTCCACTATATGATAAATTACTCTTTATCCTCTTGAATTATTACTTAATATTACTTTATCCCCTCAATTAAAATATGTTACATTTTGCCACATTAAACTATTAATTTGTATCAATATAAACTTTAAAAATTTGTTACATAAATATATTAAAATTTGACATATGATTCTACATGACATCTAAAATAGAAGGAAATGCCTAAAAGCCATTCTTTTTTCTTTTTTCTTTTTTTTTTTACCTTCCTCTGTTCTACTGAAGGCAGTTGCAATGGTAGTCATAGTTTAGGTAGATATGCCTGTTGATGAGGCAGGACAAATGAGGAGAAAGAGAGAGAGAAGGTTAAAATCATTTTAAACAAATCATAAAATTTGAGGTATAATATATAAGTCAGTTTTTAAAATTATACTTATAATTTATTCTTTTAAAATTAAATATAATAAAAATTGATGACTACAAACATCACATCGCTCTGAAAAAAATAATAATAAATGTTTTATATATAATAACGTTTAAAATGAAGGAAATATATCATCAAAACCCATAAGGATCTAATCTTCTCTGTCAACTAGAAACTGGATCCATGAAATAACTGGTCAGAGCAAGAGAAAGGAAATTGCAAGAAGTTGCAGCGAAGCATTAATTACACACACACAAACACAAATACAAATACAAAACAATGGAATTTTGTAAGTCAACTTTGTGATCCCTTAGAGATTGAGTTTTATAAACAAAAATATAAATGGAAGGATAAAAGTCAAGGTCAATGAAAGAGTGAGGAATCGTGTTGAACCATTCAAGGCTGCTTCAATTCACCTTGCTTCCTTTACTTGCCAGAACATGCAGACACATTATCATCTAATTATAATAATTCATTTATTCATCCACAAAATCTTGCTTTCAATTACATATAAATAGATTTCTCTTTTTCTTTTTTTTTTGGGTAAATTATACTTTAACCTCTTGTGATTTATTAAAAAAACACAGAACCTCCTATAATTTCTTTTGCAACACTTAAACTTTCTGAACTTCATACTAAAGTGCAATTTCGGACAAAACCATTTGTTTCAACAAAGCGTGCATTGCACAACCATAAAACCAAAATTTTCTCCCCTCAACCACACTGGACAACTCCTTACCTTCTTCTTCTTCCCAAGTTTTTGAAGATAGATTTTGGTTTCTATAAGGAGGGGGTTCGATGTGAATAGTGATTAGAGAAGCAACACTATGTTAATGGTCCAACAATGGTGAAATGACTAGAGGGTGAGTAGCTAGGTGAGGGTGAAACAAGCAGCTCAAGAAGAAATGTATGGCACTGTACAAAATGGACAACATTTCCCCCAAATCCCCAATAATCTTCTCTTGGACCTTGGAAAATTGGGTCCTATTTATAGGCTTTTCCTTGGTACCAAGAGAAAACCAAGTGGCTAAATAGAGAGAAGACAAGTGTCCCTAATGATCACATGGAATATTCTGTCTTGAGCCACCAGGCTGAAGGCGCCACGCATCCCTTTGCATGTACTGTGTACTATCTGTTTGCCTCCACAACTACCTTTTTTAGCCTCAGCAAGTGTAATTGCGGCATGAGTGTTTAGCACTGTAACTACCTTTTGAGCCTCAGCAAGTGTAGTTGCGGCGAGAGTGTTTGCTACTACACTTGCCTTCTCAGCTCAAACCTCAATAAGTGCACTTGCAGCGGTAAACCTTGCTGTTGCACTTGCCTTCTCAGTTCTATCTAGCCAGTACATGCATTCTCAGGACTTCATAGCCTACTATCAGCTATGTTCGTGTTCACCTCAACGAAGCCTCCATCCTTAGCCACCTAACCACAAACTCCCCAGCTTTCCAGGGCAAAGGCCACAACCAAGCTTGCTATCAGCCATGTTGTGCCTTAATACTAAGCCCAAGGGGGCTTCCTTAGTCATGCCTATGTGACTAAGGCAGGCCCATGACCTAGGTAATAGAAAGGGAGTCCCTTACACTCGAGCTATGATGCTCACATCTTCGCGGGATCACCACGGTATACTGGTATCTCTGGACCTGCTATTGACTCCAACCAATAAGCCTTTGGGCCAACTGTTAGCGCCAAGCTAGTGAGCTTCTGGGCCTGCTATCAGTGCCTGCTAGAAACGACCTTGGAGGGGCCTGCTATCAGCCCTAGACAATGATGTCTCGGGTCCTGTTATCAATGTCAAGCATTAGCCTCTACTTATGGAGGGAAAACTTCTCCTAAAGGCTGTTGTCACCTTGGCGAGATGTTTCCTCCACAAGTTAGTTGTCGCAGTCCTAGTTGCTACGACAGTCATTTCCCGTGGCAAGTTCAAATGGCACTCCTGACAATATTAGAGATGGCAGCGCCAACAAATTACCTCTGCAACTTGGTCCCTGCAAGTGTTACCTTTGCAACTTAGTTGCTTTGGTTTTCTCTTTCCTTTCCCTCAGCAACTTCAAATGGCGGTGGAACCAACAATATTGGGAATGGCGACGTTGAGGCAAAGTACCTCAGCAACTTGACTGCTGCAAATGTTGTCTCTGCAACTTCACTTAGACACTTTCTTTCGTAGAGTTTGTTCAAATCTTTGGCGGGTCAGACCTGCTTCGCCCATTGTTAGCTCACTTCCCTTAGGCTTTAGCCCATACTTCTTTAGTCATTCTTGGTCGCCTAAAAAGGGCGACCTCAGCACTTAGATCCATACTTAATTTGGACCTTAATTTTTGACCCTCTACATTTGCCCCCTGCACGCATGAGGGACACGCCCTTTGTTTCCCGTGCGTGCATGATATCAGCAAGTAACCTTGGGGTTGCGTTGGTTGGGTAAGAAGTTGCATCAGCTCACTGTAGGGTCATAATGATTCTAAAAATTTGTGTTTGACTGATAGGTCATAATGGTCTTGGGGAGGCGTGTTGGCACCCTTTCGCTGATTTCTTTATAAATAGGCCCCCTCTGGGTCCATTGGTCCCCCACTTCCACCAAAACCCATCTTCTTGTCTTCTTCTCTCTCTAGCCTCCCGCTTCCAAAGTCTTCTTCACCTTTCTTTATTCTTCCTCATAGCAACCACCAGATTCGTAGCAAACAGGGTTGTTGGAGTCCTTTCCCAATTTCATTTACGACCTCACCATGAAGAAGGTTCTGACAACTTCCGACAAATTTGTAGAGAGTGCTGAAGCAAATCTTAGTGGCTTTGAAAGGAATGGTTTGGACTTATCATGGATGAGGGCTAGGCTCTAAGTAATTGATGGTTTTCTTGAGCACGTGGATAATGTGGCTATGATTGTCTCCTTGGAAGAGACCATCAGAGACTGTGAGGGTGCTTTAGAGCAGCACCGTCAGAACCTGGCTCAGTTCAAGGAAAAAGACTCAGCTCTTGTTGTTCAGCTGTCTCAGGATGTGACTTTGATGTACTCCTTGATGAAGGGTTTAATTTGATGTATTGTGACCTTATTATGGTTTTTTCTTCTCTTCTTTCTCTATTTTTTTTTTTAGCACTCGTACTATCTTTTCTTTCTTCTCTTTTCCTTTGAACATTGTAATCATGCTTTGGGAAACTTGACTTCTATAAGAAACAAAGATATTGAGTAGTTGAATTTCACTTCATTGTTGTCCTTTCATTGTCATTACATAACTTCTCAAGACAATTAGTTCTTTTGCCATGAACAGGATTTTACTGTAAAACTCTTTTCTGGACAAAAGAAATCAAGAAAAATATTCCTTTACATACTTAGCATCTGTAACGACCCAAAAATTTTAACACCATTTAAGCACACCAACCAATGCTTATTAAGAAAAGAAATGATTCATCAACCTTTACATTACTTGATCATTAAGGTTTGTACAAAAATAGTTCCACATGCGAATTATACATTCAATGTTATCAAGTACATGAATCTATAGCATATAGCACATCAAATCCAAAAATAAATAAATAAATGCCCTCAAGGGCTTACAAATTCCAAGGCTTAAGTCCTGTTACACAAAATGGTCTTTCGAACCCATACAATTATAGCCCTTGGCTAGCAAAATACACCACCACAAAATGAAAAGCCATATGCCCTCAACAAAAATTTCCACGCCCTAATTTGGCAGAATTGTCACATCCTTTCCTGCACCAAAATCCCATAGGGGTGAACATAAAGCCCAATAGGAAATTCTTAACAAAGTATATACATTTTATACAAGCTTCACAAAATGAAATGCACATGCTATGCTATGTTTTTTTGAAGGAAAATCGTATTTACATCTTTTGAAAATTCATCGTGCTCAATGATAACTTGAAATTTCAATAGATTCAAAAAAAAAAAAAAATTTAAACCAAGATCACGAAAAAAAAAAAAAAACTTTGAACCAAGATCACGGGGCGGTAAATACGACTCAGGTAATTCCTAGGTTGGTGTCTACAAGTAGGCATAACTAGCATTACCAAATCATCACTTTACCAGTAGCTAGAAGGAAGGCACGTGGTACCTCCTCCGCGCGTGTTTTCGATCTTTCACCCTAGATACTCAGGCCAACTTAATCAATTTCATCCACACCTCCCATCCGGACTTACCAATGTATTTACCCCAAAACATTTCAATAAATCTTTCGTCACCACATTCTTTTCCCAAAGTAAAGTTTTCAAGTCCAAAAATCAAAATTTATCATAACCATTGAATTGAAATGCAATACAACAATTATCAATGCAATGCAACATCCTTTCCACTTTTAATTCCTTCACATAATTCAACCATGAAGGCCACAAATTTCCAATTTCTTATTCCAATGTGATTTCACAAGATAACCATGTATCTATTCAAATTCATCAAAGTAACAATATTTCCACATTTCATGTGTTCTAAACAAGTTAGTCACTTTATGACAATGCCTACAATTCCAACAATAAATTTCACAATCCACATTTCATATATTCCATGAGATTCGTCATTTACGTAATAACAAATAAGAAATTTTCCAACCATTCATTCACTATGGCATATTAATGAGTGATAAAACTTCATAAATTCTCAACCCTTTCAAAATCTCAAATTTCTAGGTTTTTGATATAAAGACATCTCTTCATCTTTTGAAAAGCAACTCACCCAAGGCATCTTCTTTCACACAATGTAGTTGAAAGCCCTCAAGAAATAGTTTGGAAAGAGTCAAAAGTTAAACCCACTTTTAAAACTCCTCTCATTTTTTAGCCAAAAACCAAAATTTTCTTAATATCATCAAAGAAGTCCCAAAACCAACACAAACCTAGCAAAAACATATATATAACTCTAAGAAAATCCCTACCTGAAGTTTGGAGAAAAAATGATGAGAAACCCCCAAATTTGACGGTGTTGAAATCTAATCTCCACCGCACAAGATAAAGCCCTCGGTTAGCTCTTTAAGATTTGTAAAGGATGTTGGGTTAAAACTCCAATGGATCTAAAGAAATCAAGGTTTTGATCTTGTTTGGTGTAGGAAATGTAGAGAGAAGGAGAAGAAAAGGGTTTTTAGAGAGAGAGAGAGAGAGGTATACAAAAGTGATATACACACAGCCCAAGAAGAGAAAAAAACACTGGATTTTCGGACTTAGCGTCTCCCGCACATGCGACACTCACCCCCGCACGTGCGGCGTCTCCCCCATATCTCCTTCCGCACATGCCTTTTATGCAATAGGCAACCCAGAATTTTCCATGTTCCCTGCACGTGCGGCCTCACCTCCCGCATATGCGGGCCCCATCCCGCACATGCGGCCTAGGGCCCCGTAGGTGCGACTCTGTCCTTTCAGCCAGGAAACTCTTTGGCTCAACATAAGCCACTCTGAACCCAACTTCGCACCTTCCGAAACATGAGAAACTCGACACGGAAATAAATAAAGGCAAGGACTTTGAAACAAGTTTCCAAATACAACAAACCGAACCATTAACAGGACTCCCGATTAAGCCCGACACTCTAATGAGGCAAACCCAAGGTTAAACAAAGAGGGCCAGTTCTGAACCCATCATCTACTCTTGTCAACTTGTAATACCCACTGCTACTTGCCGCGGCAACTTTGTAAGGGCCTTCCCATCTTTGTGAGAACTTAGGGAGTGGTTGCCCCCGCATAATCACGTCCATCGTCTTCTATACCAAGTCCCTCTCTTTAAACTCCCTGTGTTAAATAGACTGATTGTAGGCACAAGCTGTGGATTGATGATACTTTTCCATTGCCCACAAGGCCTGATCTTTTCTTTCTTTGGATGTCTCTATGTCGTTCATTCTACTATCTGGAACTAAGTGTGCTGACAAACCATTCTTGTTGGGGGTACTGCCAACTCAACTAGTAGCACAGCTTCAAACCCGTACATTAGGGAAAATGGGGTTGCTTGGATTGGCTTCCTCCTTGACATTCTGTATGCCTGGAGTGTTACGAGAAGTTGTTCAAACCATATACCCCCTGTTTCATCCATCATTTTACTCAGTATTCTGACGACGGCTTTGTTGGTTGCCTCAGCTTGTCCATTCCGTTGAGGATAGTATGGAGTAGACTTGTGGTGCTTGATTTGGTAGTCGTCCAGCAACCTTCCCACATGATGATTTACGAAGGGAGTTCCATTGTTAGATAACATCACCTTTGGTATGCCAAACCTACAGATGATGTTTTCCCTGATGAAGTTGGCCACTCCATCTTTGTTTGTTTTCCTCATTGGTATGGTCTCTATCCATATGGTGCTAACTTCAATTGCTGCAAATATCCATCTGTGGCCTTTAGATTGCTGCGCTATAGGGCCTACCAAATCAAATGCCCAAGTATGAAACTGGTAGGGGGTCTTGATATTGTACAGCTCAATCACCGGTGCATGTCTCAAGTTCCCAAACATTTAACAGGACTGGCATCTTCTTACAAAGTTTTTAGAATCTTCTTCCATTGTCGGCTAATAGTAGCCGAGGCGGATAAGGTGTCCATATAGTTGTTTCCCTCTTTGATGCTCTATCTTATGAGCTTCTCTCAGTACTTCATTTGCATCCTCTTTTGATAAACATGCCAAAGGTGCCCCTTCAAAGCTTCTTCGGTACAGCTTTCCTTGGTCAAGGAAGAAGCAGAGGGCCTGCCTCTTAACTCTAATCGCATCGACTTTATTCTCAGGCAGTGTGTCATTTCCCAGATAGTCAATATATGGTTGTCTCCGTTCTTTACTGCTTAAGAAATGGGCTTCCTCTTCTTTAGGATGGGATTGACATTTTGCACATTGCCTCTACAACTCAATACTTTCCTTTTTCCATCTCTGGCCAGTAATATCCTTGCCTCTACATTCGTCGGTATAAACTGATATCTCAATCTCCGCAGGACTTAGCATGGATCTGCTTAAGTCTGTAAGTTGCTTATTGTCTAACGGCGCACCTTGCTACAGGTTGTTAGGACCACAAAAATATAACTCTCCTCTAAGGATAAGGAATTATGCAAGTTCTGCTAGTCTGATTATTCCTTGGCCTGTTTTCAGCTGTTGGTTTATATCTGCTTTCCATCCTTTAGCATCTTGCTCTGTATATCCTTCAGCTAACATTGCTGGTGTTGTTCTTTTCTCGATTCTCGATGACGATGGCTATACTATCATCTAGTATGTCCACCTTGTCCCCTAGTGTAGCCAAAGCATCGGGAAAACGGTTGTGTATCCGAGGAGTATGCTGGATTTGAAAATCATCGAATTGAGTGAGCAACTTCTGAACTATGGTGTGATATGGGGCCAAAAGAGGTTCCTTCAAGGCAAAATCACCCAGTGTTTTCTTGACAACTAACTTGGAGTCGCCCCAATTTTCAACTTGCAGAGGCCTTCCTTTTGGGTAGTAAACAAACCCAGTATCAACGCCTCATATTAAACCACATTGAACATTCAAAGTCAAGCTTATATGATAAATGGAACTTCTCCCCTTCTTGACTGGTTAGTATTATGCCAGCTCCACATTTCCCAGCCCCAGAGGCCCCATCAAATTTTAAATCCCAATAAGTCTCAATCGCAGTTGCTGAGACATGGACCTCACCAGGTAGAGGTACCTTTGTAGGTTTATGTTCACTAGATAGGAATTGTGCTAGCAAGTCTGCAAGTGCTTGGCTCTTAATAGCCTTGGGTGTAATGCAAGTGATGTCATATTCAACTAGAGCCAAAAGCCATCATGTCATTCTCCCAATCAGAGCGGGCTTGCTCAGTAGGTAGTGGATTGGATCACTCCTGGTCACAACCTGGATTGGGTATGCCAAAAAATAATGGCGCAACTTCTGCACTGTAAAGATTAAGGCTAAACAATGCCTCTCAATTGCGGTATACCGTGATTCAGCACCATTGATTTTGTGGCTGATGTAATAGACCAGCTTCTCAAGGGCTGGAATGAACCTCCTCGGGTATGACACTTTACCTAGGAACTTCTTCAAAGCTTTTTGAGAGTGTGGCGATGGCATCTCCATGATTGACTTGATTTTATCTTTGTCTACCTCAATCCTGCGTTGGTGTACTAGGAAGCCAAGGAACTTTCCTACGGTAACTTCGAAGGCACATTTGAGAGGATTCATCTTTAAGCAAAATTTTTGGCTATATTGAAAAACTTTTTCCAAGTCGCGGAGGTGTCGATTTGCCTCGGTAGACTTTATCACCAGATCATCCACATACACTTTTACTTCGTGATGTAACATATCATGGAACACTGCAGTCATAGCCCGTTAATAGGTTGCCCCCACATTCTTCAAACCGAAGGGCATCACTATATAGAAAAAATTTCCCAACGGAGTTCTAAAAGCTGCCTTTTCTACATCTTTTGGTGCCATTTTTATCTGGTTATAACCACTTAACCCGTCCATGAAGGAGAACATCTGATGGCCCGCAGTAGAATCAACAAGTGTGTCGACATGGGGCAATGGAAACTCATCATTCGGGCAAGTCTTGTTCAGGTCGCGAAAGTCTACGCAAACCCTGATCTAGCCATACTTTTTCTTGACATGTACAATATTTTCCAGCTAAGTTGGGTACTGTATAGGCTCAATGAACTTGGCCCTCTGCAACTTTGCTACCGCTTCTTTAATCTTTGCCTCAAGATCAATGTGGTACTTTCGGGCATGCTGCTTTATTGGCTTAAAGTTGGGAAAAGTGTCAAGGTGATGGGTAACAAGAGATGGGTCAAGGCCAGGCATCTGGTCATATGTCTAAGCAAAGGCATCATTGTACTGCTTTAGTTGTGTCATTAATTTTGCCTTAGTTGCTGAAGCCATTGTATCACTGATAAACACAAGCTTGCTCTGCCTTAGTAAGTCATTGAGGTTTACCTTAGCAAATACTTCCTGCAGCGGTTTGGGCCTGTCTTGCATGCACTCGGGGGCGGGTTCAAGCGTCTCTACCAACCCTTCTTGGGACGCATAGCCACTCTAAAGTGTAGACACCCCATTTTTTACCGTCCTTAAGACTTGGGGGGGGCCTCAGGTTGATTGTTCAAGGACGAAGGTAGGATGAAGGTTGTGTTGTGCAAAGGTTCGATTTCTTCGGCACGAAGAGCTTCAAATCCTGACCTTACACCCCATTTTGGACCAAAACTATTTTGACCAAAATGATTTTTAGACCTTAAAACCCTCTCTTTCAAAATATTTTTGAAAAAATTCCTACGATGTTTCGAGGCTCGCATTTCGTTAAATGTTCTCTTTTCGGTAAACCAGGCAAGGACAAAGTGAAAATAAATGAAAGAGAGATGAAATCCATGAAAAATATTTCAAAACATCTTGTTTAGAGGTTTGGATTTGAACAAATAAGAAAGGAGGGAAGAAAACTAGCTAAGGAGCAGTTAGGCCTGAATCCGGTTAAACAGAAACTGAGCAGTCTTCACTAAAATGAGCATAACTTTTTTCAAAATTGAAATTTTGATGTTAGGCTGCCACCATTGGAAAGAAGACTTCTAGGGCTTCAATTTAGGCTTAATAATGACCTGCAAAGGAGTCCAGATGAAAGAGATATGCCCATTTGAATTTGGGCCCAAAAAGCAAATTTTTCTGGCCAACTAGAGATGGAGGTTTCTGGCCATGGATGGACTTTTCTAGCCATGTGTTGGCCATGAATGACCTTTTCCAGCCACCTGCCGTCCAAGAGTGTGCCTTGCCAACAAGAAATGGACCTATGCTGGCCATCAGTGATCCCTTACCGGCCATTGATGCAAAAAGTCAGATTTTGGTAGATATTTATCTTCCAACTATTCCAGCTGTCCCTTTTGAGATATTTTCGACCTGAGCTCTTGTTTTTCTATATATAGAGGACCTTCTCTATGGTTTTCAAGGTTAGAACATTTTACGAGTGAAATATTTTGGGGAGTCTCTCTCTCTACAATTCTCTATCTTTACATTTCGCTCTCTCTTGAACCTTTGTGCATACAAGTAAATATACACTTCTCCTTCGCCTATACATCCTTGACCAAATTTGGTTATCTTTGGGTTAAGATTCCTTGGGACCTTCTTTGAGCTTTAGAAGGTGATTTTAGCTTTATTTGGTGCCTCATTTGTACCTAAAGTGTGCTTGGCTTCAAGAGGTATAACCTTTAACCTTTAAGCCCTTTTTTCATACTTGTTTTTGCCATCTTTTTGTATTGTTTTTGGCCTGGTTTTCAACTACAAAAACCTCTGGTTTTGAGGCTTAAAAATGGTGGTTTGAGGCTATTTTGAGTTTGAGGGTGGTCCACCATTCTTATCTCTCTGCTTGTTAAGCTTTTGTGCCATCTTTTCATCACTTTCAAACCAACTCTTTTAGCCTTTTAACCGCTAAAAGTCAGAGGTTTTTCAGTGGTAAAAACTTTGTTTTGAGATCTAAAATTGGAGGGGTTAGCCTCTCCTCCTTGTGTCTAGCTTTCACGCCTAGTTAGCTTCATATGTTAGCATGTTTTTTAGCTTAACTTAGCTTATTTCCAGCATATTTTTTGCTCTGATTTGGGCTGCTTTAGCTTTGTTTTGAGCTGTTTGTGTTGTATGAGTAGTCTTTTACATGTTTGTAATGTAACCCTATGTTTTAGCTTATTGTCTTAGCTAGTTTTGTTTTCATTCTAGCATGTCTTTCAACTGATTTTGGGCTATAAAAACTCTGTGTTTTTGGGCTAAAGCTTGGGTCCAAAGGCCATTAAAGGTTGAGAGGTTGATAGCCTTTCTTTGTACCTTGTTTTGGAGGTCTTTTCCCTTGTGTTTCCCACCCTTGCATCATCTTTTTTAGAGCTTTTAAACACTATTTTTCAGAGCTATTTCAGTGGCACAAAATATGTTTTGAAGTCTAAAATTAGAAGGGTTAGCCTCCCCTCCTTGTGCCTTGCTTACTAGCTTAGCATGCTCTATGTTTTAGCCTTGTAATCTAGCTTGTTTTAGCTCAAGTCTAGCATGTTTTTGCTACTGTTTTGACCTACCTTAGCTCTGTTTTGGGTGGTTAGGGTCATTTGAGCTTTGCTTTGTATGCTTGTAGTGCAATTATGTTTGATAGTTTAGCTTGTGCTATGCTTTGGCCTCTTATTCTAGCTTGTGTTAGCTTAATTTCAGCATGTTTTTGCTACTGTTTTGACTTGTTTTAGCTCTGTTTTGGGCTGGTTAAGTCCTTTGAGGCTTATATTGCATGGTTGTAGTGTAAAGGGCTTCACTAGTTTAGTGTTTTAGGCCTTTAAGCATGAAGTGCTTAAGTTACTTGCATGTTGTAGTGTTATTTTGCATGTAATTTCAACATATATATCTTTGTCACATACTTACTTGTCTCACTCTTTCAATCGCTTTTAAGAGTTGTTTCAAGTTTAGGATTCTTTAAGCTTGAGATAGTGTCACGACCCCAATATTCCGCCCCTAGTAGAATGGTGTCATGATGGCCAGTAATCCGAGGTTACC